AATTTAATAATCATTGCTTCAGCCCATTAGGACCTGCATAAAATTCTGTGTAGTTGTTCTACCTAAGTAAAATAATGTTGAAACCACTTTCATTGATATGTATGCAATGCATTCATACTTCCATTTAAATGTAACTTGTGTGCCTCTATTTGGGTTTTGTAAATAGGGCCAGACAAGATTCCCAAACACTAGTTTCCACGTTCAACCGTGGAAAACAATGGATCATTTTTTTTACACGTAGCCAACATTTTGTCTTGTAATAACCTAAAATAATACACGTAAAGAGCAAAAGGATTCCTTTCCTCACCTTCGTTAGTTGTCCTAGGAATTTTCTAAATCGTTGGTTCAAATTATTCTCATCATCCGTGTCAAATAGAATTTGCCAATTTCTGATGCGCTGTCTCCTTGCGTTCCGAATAAAATGTGGTTTTTTGGAGCCCAACTTTAAGGCATTCCAGTCGCGAAATCTAGTTGGCTTTCTTATGTAAAATGCTGATAGGATTCCACTTAAGTGCGCTGTGGTATTATTTCTTTTCAGTCAGAAGTAATGCAGGAATAAGTGCAGTAAATCAAGTAAATTCAAGCTTCTTTATGTAAACTAATTTCTGCTATCACCTTCGCACACTCCCACCATACCTGCGCATAACCGTGCTCTAGATAGTGAATTTGGGGCTGCGCTGGTGTAATAGTAAGGCAGTAGAAATGAAATACTTATTACCGACTTGCTGAATTTTTATGCACGTTTTTGTTTATCATGCGTGTGTGTAGGCATGCATATACATATGTGTATTTCTTTAAGTATGCGCGTATGTAGCAGTATACATTGATTTCATGCATGTTTGCGTGTCTGCATGCGTACGTGAGTCCTGTTTGTAAGTATGCTTGTGTGTCGTGTACGTATACATGTATCCATGAGGGTATCGTGCAGGTATGTGTTTTCCAATATATATATATGACTTGTATCCATGTAGATGTGTATCGTGAGTGCGTGCAGGTGTGGGTATATCGGGAATATATGTAAGTTTGCACACACATATTTATGTGCGTCTCTTATGTATCCAAGCGTGCGCATATGGTATAGTTGTGTATGCATTTAGATTTAAATCAGTAATACATTGTGTATGCATGCATGGATATATCACTTTGTTATAAGCATATATGCAAGAGTGTACAGCGAACCTGTGTGTGTGCATTTAAGTATGCAGAAGTGTGTATTGTATGCATATGTGTATTTGTGTGCCTTCCATGTATGCGCGTTGGAGTGCAACGTGAAAATACATACGCATGCATGTGAGCATACACAAGTGTTGATTGCATGTATGCAGAAGTGTATCGACTACATTTGTGTGCATATACACATATGTTTGTCTCGTTTGTAGGCATTTACTGGTGCATTGTGTGTATAGATAGGTGAAAGGGTTTCGTAAACTTGTTTATATATTCTTCTATGTACGTATGATTGCACATGGAATGAATGCATACATATTCCTATATGCATACACAACGGCGTCTTGCAGGTACGTGTGTTTGCATACATGAATGTATGAAAGTGCCTTGCATGTATGCATGATAGCAGGCAAGTATGAATGAGTGTAAGTTCTTGGGTGTGAGTGCATGCATACATTTATGTGTATTCCTCGTATGCACGCATGCCCGCATTTATGTGATTCTTCTTTGCCAGTATTCTAAACCACAATTAGCACGCCTCTAAGGGCACAAGCGCTGGCCTCTCATTGAATTTACCACAGAACAAATGTAGAAAGTGCTCTGGCAGGATGCACGTACAGAAAATGGTATAAAAAGTGACTTTTATGATAAACACACAAAGATGGATAATAATAAGGTTAATGGTAAACATACAAGTCGTTAGTGAAGATTAATAGTCCAAGGAAATTTTAATCAGCATTTAGAGTTGTTGGTGGGATAGAGGGAAGTTTTGATTTAAGGTAAGCAACCGGCACTCATGCCATGCGGCAAACTACCAATTTGTTCCCCATTTTCGCGCTATGCTGTAAAAAGGCGTTGTAAGTAAAAACTGTTTCGCCAATGAACAAGTGGCTTAGGATATGATTAACATTCCAAATTTCTTTGCTGATTTACTCACTACTCTATTTTGAAATGGCAGGATACCAGGCCATTTCCACAAATCTGTGCCTTGTGATCGGGCGCGTGAAAACTAGTCACCATTTACGTCTAGGATCTGGCCGGTCAAGGGAATACACGTGAAGGGTATGCAAGAAGATGGTGTTTGGAGAAGCAAGTGTAGATAATGATTGCATGAGTAGAAGATTACCTCTCTTTGGGGCCTTTTATAAACCTTTTGTGCAAGGCCTCATCCGGTGAGATGATTGGCGTATCATGTTGGGATGGATGAGGTGGAGGGAGAGAGGCTTGCTATTTGTCATCTTGGTGCTTTTCCAGGTGACGGCTATCAGCTATTCTTGTCAGCAGCAACAGGTACACACATGAGAAAGGGAGCAGACAGATGGAGACGGAAGCGACTACAGGTTGATGGATTTTTTGGCTCGTAATTGCAAAGCGTGTTTAATGTTGGCCTTGTTAAACTTGCGTCTTGTTGGCAAAGCCCTGTAATTCGTGTGGTTTAACAATGCTTGTTTCATAAATTAGGAGCTTACCTGTACTTTTATACAATTAGGCAGTCTACTTTACCAGGAATGAAGAAATTATTTCGCCTAGGTGCATCTATCTATCCACCTAAATAAAGCTCTTGGCTATTGACTGTCTCAGTATTTAACGTCACAAAATATTGCAACATTGAGTTTTAAAGTTTGATTATGCAACACAGCAAGCCGTTTTGCATTGACCAGCAACTTTTTTCCTTTGTATCCAAACTTGGAAATTCGTAGGATAAGGAGGCATTTTTCCCAACTTTGCCTTGTTTTCTAACTAGGCCTAATTTAGATCGTCCATCCATATTATTGCAATTGTTTGTACCCAACAAATGTTGTTAGTTTTGGCTCAATAGGATCTTTGCATTTTTAAGAAAAGCAGTTTTGCTGGAGCGCAATTTTGCAACACTCTAGATACGAAATCTACCTTGCCTTATTAAGTAGCGCGTTGGTGGAATGGCAGAACCGTGAGTGCCGTAGGTTGTCGCCTTTTACTGAGAAAATATATGCATATAAGTTTAGTAAATTGGCAAATTTGAAGCTGATCATGTGGACCTATTTGTGGGAATACCCTTGCATGCTTTCGCCGCACCTTGACATACCCATGGACCGCATTGTCGATGAAGGAATTTGCCCGTGTTGTAAAAGGGAGGTTAAAATGCAATGTGTACTGCACTTTTTAGTGTATGCATGCTATGTTTTAAGACCATCCAAGTTACCAGGCCACAACACATTTCCAGCCCAAAAGGCGGGGTAACAGATTTTTGAAAATTACAGACAGGCCTATTTTGGGTTTGGTTGCTGCTATTAATAACTATGCTAAAATGCTTTGATTATGCTTAAACACGTTGTTTTAATCTCGTGAGTACTTAAGTTGCTGCCTTTGTACTCTCGCCGGGTACGATGTTGTCCCGAACGTGTCAGTAGTCACCCAAAACTTATGAATGTTGGTTTGCGGGCTGCAGAAAATCTTGTGAAAGTAATTGAGGAAATCACTATGTCCGTTTGCGACTCATATCCTTAATAGATATATTTGGAGTATTGGGACTGGCATTCATTTCAGGCAGCCAATTTGCGTGATCCAAGCTACACTAGACGGTGAAATAATGATTGCTTTTTGGAATACTTGTGAATACATCAGCGTCCACCCAGGATTGACTAAAGAACTACGGGTGCTGCTTCTGATTATTGAAGAGACAGCTGTAACCATTCTGAAAACAAGATCGTTTTCTACTACTGGCGTCGAGATAGCAGTTACAAGGCATATTCGATAGAACAGTATTTTGTGTTTATTATACAAATCGAGTCACATCCACAATGTGGTCAGAAAAGCACATAATTAGGGCAAGATATTACAGCTAAAACTCTAAAATATGTAGCTGTAATTTTTTTAGTAAAATATTACAATAGAATCACTAAATATGCAATGCGCCTCAACTTGGGAAAGTCAATTCTCCACACTGCTTTGGTTGAGATTTCCACGGTTATTAAATGGCTAATTGTTGGTATCGATGGCTCAAAATATTCCATTTAGCTGTTGGAAATCGTTATCTATCAAATCCTTAACCAAAAAATTTATTCTGTCCAAATGAAGGGGAAATCAGTGCCTCCAAACAAATAGTAGTTGTTGCATTACATGGAAGCAAAACAGAGATGGGTAGGGTGGGCTAGTCCTGCGGTCTGTTGCTACGGCTGTTGAGAAGTTTAATGCCATTTCAAAGGTGCCTAGCTCCAGCTTGATCTCCTTTGGTTACCTGATATCGCATAGATCCATCATCAACGCAACTACCTATTTGTGGGATAGTGTCAAGAAATAAGAGGAACAAATTGACGATAGGTTGTTCACTAGGTGACAGCTGAACCAAACTGTCTTTTGACCGCACACACGGGCATAGGCATATATGTATGGGTAGGTGGGTGAGTGTTTTATAACCAGAGAAATTTTTAGTGTACATATGCATGTGAGCACACACATATATATATATACGTATGCATCTATAAAACCGATTCTATCAACGTGTACTTTTGTTCGAATTTTACGGTTGGACATTCTTTAAATGAATTTAATTCTGCATAATTATGCGTGCACATGAGTGTATGTGTCGAAATGTGTTTTCTAATGGTAAATTTATTATTTAAATGCGCTAGCATTATGTCTTCTTCCTTCTTCACAGAAGTCACGGGGTGCTTCATTGGAGTTGGTGTAATGCTATCCCTGTCTTGCGGGACAAATGTTCTACTTTCTAATGCTGGATGAGAAGCCGTAGCAAGGCGAAATAGGTACATGTGCTGTGGATGGAAAAATCGGTGACGACCTCAAACAGAAGGACAGAGAATAAACATCGGTCTTCTGAAACTACCCCATTTCTGTGGACAGCAAGAAAGCTATGAACAACTGTAACTACACCAATCTTGGACCACCCAAAACGCTCGCAACAGACCTCTCTACCGTACCAGTGTGTATCTGATAAGCCGCAGATGGATACAACTGGGTAGGCCTGAAGTGATTACTAAGTGGCAAGGAGGAATAAGCCGAGAAATTTGTTTCCAGAGTACTACTGAACTCTTTCTACTTTATATGATCTTGCTTTTAGGCCTGTGCTCCTACTATTATAACCATAGACGCACATGATGGCCAGCACATTTTACCGGCCCCCAATCCATTTTCTACACAGGACTGAATTCCGAACACGCGATAAAACTGCACAATTCTTGTCAGTTTAAATTCTTATTAACTAGTGATTTGGGATCACGTGACAAGGGAATGTCATCAAAACTCATAATTTTCAAAGAATGTTGTTAACTAGCAGACATTAAAGATTTTAGAATCATTTAGCTTGTCTAGCAGGCTAGAGCTTGACCGGACCCTGAGGCGGATAGTGAATGTTAATGCATTCGTTAAAGTCAAATTTGTAGCTGCTTCTCAAAATGTGAACAATGCTACCCTGTCAATCCTCCATGCGACCATATCTTGTGATGATTCACTCTCAGACTGTGCTGTTACTCTCACCTCAAGTCACGTTTTCTTCACTTTCCATGGTCGAGGGTTCTCGAACAAAAACATTGTTATGTCTACTATGACTGACAGAATGCAGGATTTCAAGGATACGGTGTTTGGTTTCTTTTGTGAAATGAAGCGAATAGGCACACACCAACAGGGAAATATTGCAGCATCTTGCATCAGTGGTCCTTGCGCCTATGGACACCACAGACTAACACTAATTTGAACGACTCCTTTTCTTCCACGCTTCGCCTGGAAAGAAGTGTACGTCTAAGTGCATTTAGAAATGGATATTAGATGATGTGTTCATGGTCGGTGAGTGCAACATGAGAGAAATTGCTTTGGATTGTGTCAAACAAGTGGTCTATGGTTTACCATCAGCATCAGTTAATCACTCAGTGGTGTGCTACTAGTGGATGAGGTAAGTGTCGGTTAGTAGAGAAGACCATGTGTGCATAAGGGTTCTCTCTGGGTGAGCTCGAAGGAAGAAGGAAGACGGAGGAGCAGACAGTGTGAAACAGCTTCTATCAGCTCATAAAGCCGATTGGCACATACCCTGACCACTTTTCATGACACTCTCCGAGAGGAATTAGATCGACTTCGTTAAGAACAACCACGAGAGCACCACAAGTAAGTTCGCCAGTGATAAGGCACCCCACCGTCTGAATGCGATAGTCCATGTTGGCGTCAACCATAAGAGGTATTGGATAGATTGTGTAAGTGTCCAAAACGGGCAGTAACTTGTAAACACACGTCTGCGTAAGTGATACTAGGAACTGCATACATTTGCCGCAAATTTAACTTCGAATGGGAGGAGGATGAGCAGGCCAGTCAACAAGAGTGACTTGGATGGCTTTGAAAATACCTACCACATGAAGTGGTGCTAGCTAATGCCTTGAGGGTCTTTGACAAAGTAGTCTTCCCTAAGTCAGAGTAGCCAATAATACTGATGTTTACAATGAGTAACAATGAACTGGAATTGTGGGTAGAATGTTAAAAAGAGCTCCATTCAAACGGCTAATTAGCTGACTAAATATAAAAGTTAAACACAGTAATGACATTGAATCTGTGGTGAATGAGCAGTCGAATTAAGGGGAAAATGGGTTAATAAGAAGCGAAAAATGAGTACACAACAAAATAATCGAGAGTAAACGCAAGTCATCACTGAAGCAGCGTGCAATCTCCACTTCTGTTTTGCGACATTTAAGGCCCCGCCATTGCAATCCCACTAAGGTGGCATGACCTCCAGGCCAGGTCAGCAGCCCTTCGCCACATTTTGCACGTCCGAGTTGTATTTACTTCCCCTCTATTGTGATTTTTCCCAAATTCTGGAAGAGCCGGGGTGCTATACACTATACGCAATTGAGAGTGCCATGGTTTCGGTCTTCCAATCCCTTGATTGGTGAAAATAGTCATTGTTTGGGTGTATAGTTGACATTGAATACACTGTCAAAGTAAAGAGCAACTACAAACCCTTTTCACTTCTGCTTTCCCAACCTTTTAATCATCAAGGCCATCAGTTGAACCAATCTCGTGAAATCGTATTCTTGGTTTTCCTTCCCAACTGAAGACTCTCTGCTCCTAATAGAACCTACACTACGTATGTACATTATTCGCGGTGCACCGAGTCTTTCCTACATCTGTCAACAGTAGAGGTACCATGGCAGACCACGTTTTGCTGACGGGAACGATAGATTATTTTAGTGGCTCATTAGCCATGCTAACTAGGAGATGTACAATGACGCAGCCTTGAGTGCCGACGGAAACACGAAACCTCTCTTCCTTAAGCGTCAGACTTGGTGCTTCTCTTAGTCAACCTCTCGTGACAGATATCGCAACGGTGTCGGTGCTAACAAAATGGGGATATTCTAGAACCAACTGCGCTAGTTGTCAAATTTGCATACAATTGAGGCCGTATTCGATTACAGCGTCACTAATATATCCTGGTTATTCCCTAGGATCTAAACTTCGGTCCTGTTTGGGATCCATATTGGGGATGGTGAATGAGCTCTCCTCCGACTGCTGGAGGCTGAATGACAGTCTACAGCAAGACTATCTCATGTGCCTATCAATAGTCATAAGTTTATTGATCTAATAGCAGAATCGTTTGGTCAAATACGAGACTTAAAATGGATTTGAAAGGGTAATGATTTGTACGTATCTCTCTTTTCCACATTGTTCTCATTCCAGAGCACACAGCCAATAATCTGTCTGCGTTCCATTCAGTTGGTGGAGTTGGAGGAGGGATCGCGTGTGCACATCATTTTCACCTTTATGCAAGTGCTGTAGGTAGCCCCGGGATGGACTTTTTTAGATGGTGCACGGTTAGTTTTGCTTCAGTTGTGGCGTATGTGTGGGAGTAGGCTTAATTTCCATCCCTTCTGTTCGACGTCTTAACAGGTTTATCCATCCGCTGCGTATGCTCAACTTCTGGCGTCTTATTATTTGGCACTAAACCTTAGAAATCAGCTTATCACCGCCAGCGTAGTACTCCGAGACTTCCTTAAAGTCGTAAGAATTTACTCTTGCGTGGCAGAAAACATACCACTAACACGCAAAAGGTCTGGAAGACTACTAACATGGCCTGGAGTCCATGTCGCAGAGAGGAGGCATAATGCCGGAGACTTGCGAGTCCGTGTGCTGAGAAGCAGAATCAAAGAAGCCACTGAAGCATTACAGGAACATATAAGATGTATATTAGGCCAAAGAAGATGAACCAAAAGGTGAAGCGCAAAGCAATTCCTTATCGAAGATTCCATTTTATATGTACCCACTTCTTCTTAATGCGCCAATCAGTTACACTTTGTTAAGGAGAGTAAGGGTTGCTATAAATTCCGAAATGATAATTTACGTTGCAAACTTTCCAACCCGACAGTCCGAATTAACATAAGGTTAACAGGTAGAAATTTGTCCTGAGTCTGATGAAGGAGCAACTAAAGAGAGGTGATGTGTTTTATTTCAAGAGTCCTTTTTACAAAGGAGATCTAAAATGCTAATGCACAGCATCAGTGGCCCATTTGATAGCTTCAGGTAAAAGACTATCACTATAAAACTAGCAAACCATCACCTAACCTCCCCCATTTTTCTGTAGGTAAGGCACCTCACCACAAGTGATGAAACAGACCAAATAAAGAAACTAATAGCAGGATTGTCTGTATTTTACGCCCTCTCTAACAGTCCTATCTCTACGACGCATGCGTTCTCCAGCCTGCACAATAGCGGTGCGGTTGACCTCGAGGCTCCAGATAGAGAGAATCACCCAAACGAAGATAAGTAGGGCTGCCCAAATGGAGAGGAGGAGGAGACCGAGGAACACGTCTCCAACTGCTGGAAATTTAATGGAAGATTCCTCAATTTTCAGTCGAAAAGAGACGAAGGCCTCAGATTGCCATTGGTTTGGCAGCCGAATGTCGCGCTTGTAGCAGCTATAGACGCCCTCATCTATGCGTCGCACCCGTGCAAATCGTAGGCTGCATTTGGAAGTCACGAAGACGCGCTCGTTGAGAAATGTGCGTGGCATGTATGTCATCCCTTGAATGTGGTGCAGAGAATGTGATAAGAGCATGTCAACATTAAACGCCGAGCAGCAAGTGTTACTTGGCAAAACGACGCATCCACTGTTATATCCTTACGCATTTCTAACACTCGATATCATTTTGTATTCAGGTACAAATGGTCTGCTTACTTTATCGTTTGAATGTGAGAGTAGTTGGTTTACTAGTGGGAGAATGATTCTAACTAGAATTTGTATTTGCTTATTTAGCACGAAGCTGCCCACCTTTAGGCTGTTTCCAAAGGATAGTAAAATTTGTGAGGTCCGAACAGTTGTAGGTAATGGTATCGATCTCCGTGCCACAGAGCAGGTCAAAATTCATTGAGCCCTCTATAGCTACCTTCTGCAGTTTCATGAACCTCTTCTCCTCATATCCCAATAGCTCCCTCTTCATAGCTTGCGTATCCTTCGTGGCCAGGACCAAATTGACAATGTCCATGTAATCAATTTCAGGGCAGGGTACCTCAAAGGAGAGGTTCACGTGCAGATTCCTCATTCCAAACGGTCTTGGCAGCTCTTTGGTGAGATTCACATGTTCCAGGTAGGTAAAATGACAAGGTATGTAGTAGCGTTTATTCTCTTCCCTGATCATCTTCGAAAAGTCCTCTTCCGTCTCTACCTTCATTTCTTCCTTTCTCACAACGTCTTTCTTGCCTTCGTAGAAGAGTTCGAATCCCAGTTCAGAGGCTCTCATTTCCGCAGCTTCGCGCTGCTTGCGTCGAGTGACTGGGTCCTCCTCGTCCATCCACGTGTAGAAGGACGCAAAGGTAGTTCGCAGAAGTTCGTAGGTCAGCAACATCTCCGATGACACGGAACTCCGGGCATCCGTTGCAATAACGCGTGGAATAGTCACATAGCATCTGCGAAAGCGTTTGAGATTGAATGTACCACAGGTCTGCATTGGTTTCACCGTCGGTATCAGTCGTGATGTGATGGATATTAGAGAAGTGGAATAATCTTTGAAATCCCCTGCAGCCTTTAACGCTGCTCCCGCGTTCTCCATGATGACATCCATATCTTTCAAATGGGGCACCTTATGCACACCCTGTAGGCTCACTGGAATCGACTGAATCACCTCAGTCAGACCCTCTGTCTCAGGTGGGAGTACTACATCGAGATGGTACCAAATCCAATTCGCTATATGGCGGCTGTCCTCTACATTGCGACAGTAATAAGTTCCCACGTGGAGGTCACGATTAAAGTTGGGGATGAAGAGTTCATTGGTGCTGTTGATGAGGCATGGAATAGCACCACCAGAGAATTGATCTCGACTTAGAGGCATTCCACCAGGTTGAATGAACGAGACATATCCGCTGATACTCGTGAATATGGCCGATGTGCCACGAGGCAGGAAGTACCATACGAAGGAACTGGTCGATTCGCCTGGACAAATGGGGCACTTGAGTGTGACCTTCTGATTGTAATTGGGTCGTTGTAGCATCAAGTGATGTCTTAAAGCTGCCTCCTCTTCCCTTTGAGTGGTACAAGTTGCAAGACCTGATGAGCTGGTTGCATCGTTTGATGAACTGGTTGCTAATAATGCCTCACCTTCGCACAATTGCAGGGGCTGTCTTGCTGCCCCAATGCTTGCAATTAGTAGGAGGGAGTAGGCGGCAGAGATGTGAGCATTTCCGCAGCTGTGGTGCAGTGCCTGGCTCATCTGCTATGCGATCGATGACCTCATTCGAATGGCAGTCAGCTGAGTGTTGGCGAGTGACAAAGTAGACAAATTCTGACCCACTCCTCTGCAGCACAGTTTGGTAGTCATTGTGACCACGAGGTAGTCAGGTGAATAAATTTTGCTTGTCTGCTGAAGGATATTTAATTTCTGACATCCTTACAATTCGCAAACCTGTTCTGTAGAGCTGGAAGCCTGAAAATCCACTTTGGCTAGAATTTCGTTTCCAGCAAAAAAAGGTGATCGCCTACGACTGTACCCGCTACATGTACATTTTAAAGCAGTGCATGTTTGCCGGTCATCTCCACTGTCTCGATAATAAGACATGCCTAATTTGTTGTCTAGACATTTCCACTTTCATGGCTACTTCCGTGACATTACAGAAAGTTGTGCTCCTTGTTAGCATCAGGAACCGAATTGACTTAATGCCCGTGATCACCAGTCATCAGTATTGAAAGTGGAGTACCGCCACTGTGGAATTCCTTCTTACAACTGCGAAGTCAAAAGTCACTCCCGCGTAGTCACCACAGAAGGAACGATCCGCGGAAAAGGGAAGCTGTTTAATGGGTCAGGCAAAACGCCTTGTAGCACGGCTTGATCTATCGCATTAGCTTAAAAAGACTACGAAACATGCTTTTGTATTTGTGGTATTGTGTGATGCATAGTTCGGCCGAATGAAGATATTAGAAAATTTCTCTTTCATTTTAGTCAGAACGGAACACGTTGTTAAAAAAGGTGAGAGAGAAATCACTAGTCATTAGAGCTGTGAGTGCCCCAACGGCAAGTCATTAAATTGTGGTAGAAGTCACAAATCACACAAATAATTTAATGAATCCCTCCAATTTAAGGCATTGAAGCTATTAAGAAGTGGAGTCAGACTAAATTTTGTAGTAGTTTCTCCCATTTCTGCACCATATCTAATGAGACCATCAAATCGGAGGAAATGTCGGACTAGTTTCGAGCTTTCTTTACTCCAAGATCAGGATTTACATGACCTCAATATCCTAGAGGGCAGGGGTTAATGCAAACTGCTGCTAGAGGTGTTTGACCTTCCCTCTGGTTCTATAGTCAACAATAATGTGAAATAATTGCTGATTTGATCAAAAGTTTGTTTATTTAGAAGCCATTATTGTCCCTGCAACTGAAACGTGGCGTTATACAGCATACAAGAGGAGGAATTCTGTTTCGTGTACAAGCAAAAGGCCAAAGACTTGTCACATATCAAAATTGTGCACTCATCAACATGTTTTCAGTGACTTTCATTGCTGCAAGCATTTCTTAACTTGCACAATGTTGTTAATTCGAGGAATTCATCGAAACATACTAACATACTGCAGTGGAAATTACTATGGTTTTGTAATACTTAAAACTCCTTTTTGGCCGTGGTGTTAAAAATGGCCTAAAAAACAACCAAAGTGCGCAAAGGATATCTACAAGCCAGGAACCTGCTTTTTTAAGGCTATTATATTCGTCCAGCACATTTGAGGGTAAAATCGGCCAGATAAATTATACCGGCAGTGACCATGCTTTTCTGCGTTAGTAATGATCATTCTTATGGATAGTTTTTCCAATGAGCACCACTAAACTACACCGATTCCCCGCCTTCAAGTTAGCGTTAGGTTTAAGCTGCTCACTTCGTTCTCCTATTCTAGCGTAATTCAACGACATCGATTGCGAACTGTGTAAAGCACTTGCAAAGCGATAAATTACTTACGATTTACTTGTTTTTAAAGAAGGATGTTTATTCTCATTCATGCAACGAATTCTCTTTAAAAGCGTCTGAAATAATTTGAAAAAGCATTCTAAAATAGGAAAATTTTAAGCTGATAAAAGGGGTACTTTTCGCTTGTCAGGAGGTACCAGACTTCTTTTTATGTCTGTAACCTTTGGAGTGGCAGCATAAGCCAAGATGGAAAAAAGCCCATCAAAGAAAGTACAACCAAATAGTATCAAAAACACGTTGTCAATGGGGTCTCTGGGGCCAGAGAGAACACCTATGTCATAGTAAGGACTTAAGAAATCAAAGCCTGGTTTCTTGACTCAACAATGCACACCGAGTACCTTAATGCCATGCCGAAGAGGGTGCTGATGGGATCAAGGTGTTAGGACATCTTTATTTACTGTATTTTTGGCGTTAATTTGAGCAATTTTTAAAGAAATTGACCACGGCAAAAATTTTTAGGAAAAAATCTTTGTTCTGTCCCTTCAAGTGCAGATTGCTCTGTGGAGACAAGGAAGTATTTAGTCAACTGTTGAAGTTCCTAACGTATGTGACTTGGACCTGCCACCATCACCTACTCCCTCAGCAGTGCAATATGAATAGGTCAACAGTGAAACAGTGTTTCCTATGGAAAATAAATAAGTAAAAAATAACGAGTAAGACCTAGGGGGACATTTTGTGGAAGATGATGTGGTTTCATGCAAAAATTGGGGAAGTGATAAGCGTAAATTGTGTATTACAGTATTGCGTTGCCTAAAGTGAAGTGGTAAAGGGTTACTTAACAAGAAGTTCAATAGATGATTAATTTTTCTTTGCGGTGTCTTTGCCAGCTTACTTCTTTGTTGGTTGAGGGTTTACCAGTCCCCTCTTCTTTTTGGAAGGAGCGATAGATGTTCTGGCATCAGAAACGATCTCATTTGATTGAAACTTAGAAGGTAAAATTAAATCTGTAAGGATCGCCCTACAGAGGGTTGGTATAGGAATGGGTGCCATTCGAGGTTGAAAAATGGTATTTGACAGGAAGAGATCAAATAAATCTCAGCAATTTTAAAATTAGAGCCTCTCTCTCACCATAAAATTAAATTGCCTGATTATCGGAAAACAATTCAAATGGGACATTTTAGAAAGTGGTGACACTCAGATTGATCGTCCGCTTGCAATCGCATTCATTACGAATGGATAATCTCATTGAAGACGAATTACCTTAGGCTCCATGTTAGAACCCATAGTTTCCAATCTACGTAATCATTCGGAATAGCAATTTTTCCCTTAAATCCAATCAAGAAATTAACGTGCAAACTTAACTCCCACTTTTGGCCATGAACCATACATTCAGTTCTTCTATATGCCAACATTTACAAGGACCTCACTTGAGAAGGTCTTACTGGCCATTTGAGGGATTCTCCAAAGGACACTTAAAGTGGCTGTATTCAATTCAATGGAGATTGGTCTAAGAAGATTACTAAATTTCCCTCATCTCGAGCTAGGTGGTTATCAAAACTCGCTTGACTGAAACTTAAGAGCATCAAATTGAGACTCAGCAACTAATTGTGTGGCACAGTTGAGTAAAGGGCACAACAAATTCATCCACTTGGCTGCTACCACGATTCCTCTTCCCATTTCATTTGCTGTAGATACAAATGGGTTGCCTCTTCATCCCCACCTCACTTTAGACATGGCCCGAAATGGTTCCTCACACAGCGATCGCCAATTCTTTCCTTCATTCCCAACACCACCTGATTCTTCCCCATTATGCAGGGCAGAGCATGTTTCTAAAAATGGTGTGTCCACACGTTTGTTTGTGGTTCCTTGATAGTATCAATTTTCTGGATGTTGCTTACTGATTATGAACTGTGCTTTCTGTTGTCACATGAAGCAATGGCAGGAAATTTTCAAAAGATCTTTAAGAAGTGTAGACTGATTTCGGAATCGGGGAAGTTGGTTTCAAATATAACTCTCAGTGAGACTTGAGAGTGTGAATAGTGTGCTTCCATCGTTCTTCCAATCAAAGTACATTACCACGGAAGCAGTCAATGCCCAAGCAATTTTGTTATCAAAAAACCATTTATATATCAGCTCTGAAACAGACTAAAGTTCGAAGGAGCGTTTATAATGAGGCCTAACTTGAGTGTTCCATTCCACGCAATTAATGGAGAAACATGTAAAACCTCGACGGTCAATGGACTGCAACTGTACTTAAGTGGGCAATTTGCAGGAAACAGACCAAGCACTGGTTTTTCATTCCAGTTTCAGCACCGCTTGTGGCAGTTGCTTAGAGGCCTTAGAGCTGTTGGCAGCTACCTCATGCATATGGTCTATTAACTACATTTGACGGGTAGTGAAACCACATGCCTCTCCTCTTGGTGAAAATGGCAGTGTGAATTTCAGCTGGGGATGAGGAATAACCTGTTTGCTAGAAGCATCGCATGCATCCGGCGCGACCTCCTTAGCAATCTCCTACATCGTGTTGTGCCCCAAGTCGAATGTCTAAATTGGGACTGGGCTAGGGACTGCAATTACCAAAATCATACTTCATTGACTCAACACCATAACTCACTTGGCCTCTGCCTGTGACAGTTACCTCCTTCCCTCCTTTCTTCCTTTCTGTCTTTCTTTCTTTCTTCCTTCACCCATCCTTTCCGTTTCTTCGTGGTTTCAGCTCCCTGTCAACTGGCTACACTCGCCATACTTTGACTGATTTTGGTAAAGTCATATTGTGAAAGTAAAGGAAAAGATATCACCATCGAAGTACCCGAATTGCAGCACATCCTACGTTGACAAATTATTTCTACTACTGCTTAGTAAGCGCCTCATCCCTGCCGTCTGCACACAATTATCCCATTACGTTGATGCGAAACCCCAAATTCTTCTCACCTTCTTACATAAGTTGTAAGGGTAAATACGACCATCTCATCCGATTAACAATGCAATTAGTAGATACAGGGAGGCAGAGCTAAAAGATTGCGATCACAAGGTAGGGGCGGCAGTTCGGTCATCAATCCATTTAATTGGACAATCGAAATGTGAGACTCTGAATAGATGCGAGTGAGTCTGCTGACTACTGTCCAAAGCTAGACAAGCATTCGTTATCTAAGAGTACTTCATCTTCCGTGCGTCATGCAAGTCTTTCCTACAGACTGGGACATAGGAAAGAGGGTATTTAAGCTATTTCATTACGCAGATGACAGCAAAAGAATTGTTACTGTACTGTAAACAAAATGTAGATGTTGAGAGTACAAGCCTGATGTCTCTTAGAGGAGAC